ATGTGTGTATTTATGTATATGTGTATGTATGTATGTATGCAGATAGGATAGAAATCAAGACGCAAATCCTAGTTTTATACTTAAGACTGTTAATTGGAGTCTACAGCTCAGACAGCAGTGGCCGTACCACTCGCCATCGTTACACTTGAACTACGCTGACTTCCGTTAGGGCAGACAGACGAATTGGCCAATGCTCAGCCACACATCTCTTCGGCCAAGTCGCGTCCCCTTTTCCTCCCATTCGAGCATGCACTCGCTCAGGCAGGCCAAGGTAGCCTCAAGTGGGGCCGGGCCGATTCGAAATCCTGCCAGAGCCTGAGTTGTCTTCCAGTCAACTGCCGTCACAGCTTCTTTGTTAGCAGCAACGAGGCCGGCTTTGCACATATACACACCAGCAGACGACAAACATGCATACACACGAGTGGACTATATGCAGACGTGTAAGCAGGCACAGATGATGGGTATTTGGATGTGCCATGTTGGTAGAGTACACGCTATGAGGGAGATTCAGACACACAGACATAATCATATTCGTCGTATGTCTCTTTTAGACTTCCAGGTCCATATCACACCTCAAGTGGGAGTATTGCTTTGCTACGCCTTCGTTAGACAATGCAACTCTGTGGGTGGCCACGTGGCAATGTAGAACTTCCGACAGCAGACAGTTGGACAAGAGGATTCCGGTAAGCTTCTTTTTTAACCTTTCAACAAACCCTGTACCTCTTCATTCGCCCGACTCGATACTTCAAGGTCAGCCTTTTCGATAACCGGACAAGCCAAAAGTCTGGCCGGAGGTCAGCAGAGTTTTCCAGCCTCGGGAGGGGTGGCCGATGCCACTTCGCTTCATGTCTTGGCGCCTCTGGGCCGTCACCGACCGCGTCGAGGAGAACTGTATAATTTGTCGGAAGAAGAGTTGTGCTTCGAGGAATGCCTTGATAAGTTAGGGCGACTTAATTTTGCATTTTGCAGCAAAATTTGGTTGACGAGATGCAAGACCACCAACTGCTTGTGGAATATCCAAAATGTATTAGGATTATCACAAACATAAAGCTAGCAGGATTCTAGGACACCACGATTTATCCGTACATCATCGAAGCAGATCTCCGAAAAATGTACGTTTTCAATAAGGAAATGTCACGACCTTGTAAAGTTAATAGATGAATGAATTATAGAAAGTGGTGATTTGTTTGTAAGTTTAAAGTGGCGTCTAGTTGTCATAATATTTCGGTAAACATGACAACCCAGGCTTTAGATAAACATCAGTAAATCATAAAGGTATAAAGTTAGCCAATGATTCAATTAATAGATGAAGCAAATTAATTGAGAGTATATGCGAGGATATGTAGACCAAGATGGTGTGCACTTTAGTGTGGTTGCAGTCTTTTTTCGGTGTATAGAAGCGGGTTGACCTATTCTTCGCAGCTTGGTTGCGTTGTCAGGGCGACTTAGTTGGAAGCACATTGCCCGAAATCCTCCACTATAGCAGTTATCATAATTTTTAGCGTCAGGCCGTGGATTTGGTATATTCTCAGACGTTTAGCCGACATCGTAGTCGGCCTCATCAGTGAGTCTTGCCATTCTCAACACCAAGCTAGAACTCGTCAAAGAGACAAGGCTGAGGATTATGATAACTACTATAGCAAAGATGCGTCCAACTAAGTCTACCTGACAGCAGTACCAGGTTGTGAAAACGAGATCAACCCATTTTAACAATATATATGAGATGTATTCACCCAATGTCGTTTAAGGTGATGAAGGACTGGTAGAAGAAGAATTTTCCCACAATGATATGAGCTGAGCTGACCTTTCCAGCATCACCTTTAGCGACATTGGGTGAATACATCTCATATTACTGGTTTACTGATAGTCACGAAAACAATACTTAATTCGAAAAATAAAGTATATTAGTCGATTATTATATGTGAAATTCAATGGAAACGTCAGCTCAACTCATATCATTGTGGGAAAATTCTTCTTCTAACAGTCCTTCATCACCTTAAACGACATTGGGTGAATACAATTCATATTACTGATTTACTGGTAGTCACGAAAACAATACTTAATTCGAAAAATAACAATATATAGTTTATATTCGCTGGTAAGTTGTATGAACAAACAAGAGATTTAGCAATGGTATGGTGTTTAGCTCATACTTTAGCCAGTAATTTCATGGCTGACTAGGAGCTACAAGTGATTTAAGTGGCACACCTACTCCAAAAGTTATCCGTTAGGCGTATTGACGACTATTTTTCGTATATGAGCAGAGTTTCAAGATTACCAGTAAATCAGTTATATGAGATGTATTCACTCTATTTCGTCTAAGATGATGAAGGACTGGTAGTGGAATTTTCCCACAATTCCATTCAATTTCACATCGCCTTGCTTTCCCTAAAATTGTTCTCATCCAGGCTGAAGTGGACTGCAGTCGCCACCTCGCCTGTGCCCTGTGACCCAAGGGTACTCGTGGCAATGTGGACGAGTGGATAATGCGTCAAGCTCACATTCTGCACTGTCACGGTTCGACTCCCGCTGAGGGTGTTGACAAGACCGATGCTAGGTCGAAACTGCATTCCACTTTAGCCTGGATGAGAACAACTTTTTGGAAAGCAAGGCTCTGTGGAATTCAATGGAAACGTCAGCTCGATTCATACCATTTTGGGAAAATTCTACTACCAGTCCTCCATCACCTTAAATGAAATAGAGTGAATACATCTTATATAACGACGGAATTTGTTATAGGCTTAGCTGCCTGACTGGATAAATATGCGAAAATTCACATAGGTGAATAAAGACTTGCGTTTAACTCGATGTAATGAATGGGAGCGGAATGTACCAAATCAAACTAAGTTGGCCTCTCAATATATTTGGATTTCATTTGGCCCAGCCTCACATCCAGGCTGGACTTGATGGATATTTCGAACTCGCCTCATCGTCTCATCAACATTGTCAACCTGATACAAGACCGGGTAGTGAACATTGTGGTGAACGTCATCATATTGAAACTCAGTCACAAGAGCATTTATAATAGGATTGTCAAGATTACAAACATGCATCTTCTAGTCGAGCATGTTTCGAAGTCATCAATATGTATTGAATAAAAAATTTCGCTATATTTTGGTAGCAGTCTCCTTTCATTGTATGAAAATAGTTTGACCTAGTTTAAGAAACTTGTTCGTGAGGTTATGGCGACCCAGTCGGATTCACCCTATCCGCAATCCTCTTCTATAGTAGTTATGACAATTCCCAGTTTTGGGCAGTTGACTTGGTACATTTCCAAATGTTTTGCCAGCATCAACACTGAGTTTTGTCACATAGCTTCAATCTACAATGCCTTGGTCAACTGTCTTCCCAACAGTTGTCTTATCATTCCTCCTTCTGTCCTGGAACATCTACCTTCTCCATATCCCCGTATCCCACTCCCTCCTTATCACAACTTGTGACTTGTTTATAATCGATTCATCTAGAAATTTAGTGACACGTAATCACACCTTCGTGTTTACTTTCCCACTCTCATCTTTCTCAATTTGCCTAAATTTCTGATCCGACTATCAGAATCTGCCTCATTGTCCCGGAAATTCGTTGGTAAAACTATTTTTTAATTCATTGTGTGTGTGTGTGTGTGTGTG